CCCGTGGTGGCTCTGCTTTTCCCTATAGCTGTTGGAAGATACAAGACTCTTTCTCGTTGCATGGACAATTGGCCGCCAATTCGTCGACGAGGCATTCATTGGTAGCGCAGGCACCAGAAGAGGCAGTTGTCGTCGTACAGGTTTTCTATGTTCGAGAGACTGTAGGGGATTGCGATTTCTTCCGAAACCTCGAGTGGAAGTCGCTCCTCCTGGGGTGGTGTGTAGACTATCGCTTTGTTTTTCCACAGTACGCATTTCTTGCTGTCGACGCAGTGGTCGATGGCGCCGCACTTGCACGTAGAGTTGTCTCGCTCGAAGAGAGTAGGGAGTTCCGATAAAGCGGCCGGGCAGTCGGTGCATCGGTGGTGTCTGTCCTTGGGTTCCAGGCAACAGTAGTCATCCGAGAGAACGATGCGGAGTTTGCCGGCCGCGGGGTGAAATTGGTTGGGTGGGTAGAGGTAGACGAAATCCACTATTTTGCTGTCTTCGACGAATGGGCGAAAGTACAGCAAATACAGTTCCAGAAACTGGCGAGGCATCTGGTAGCGAAGGTGTGTCCTGATTTCTCCAGGATTTGTTTCTCTCGGTCGGAAAGCAATACGTGGGGACACTTCTCCAGCAGTCTCTCGAAGACTTCGGCCATGTCGGGAGTTCTCTCGGGGCTGCCACAGATTCGCGTGTATCGGGCTTGCGATATGTGGTACTTCCTCTTTGCTGATGGAGAAACAACACAAGAGTGGTCCAAACCCCATCGACATACTGTTGTTGTTTTTCTGCGCTGGACTCCATTTTTGCTTTCTGTATACCTGTCTTTGGGTTGGATGGACTACTGGGATTGCGAAGAAAAAACAATGCAAACAAAGAGTGTCCCTATATACTCAAATGTTAAGTGGAGGTGCACCCTTGGCTTTTTCCCCATTACTTTAACCAGACTCGTGGGCAAGAGACCCGTCGAAGCCATCAAAATGAAATCTGTTAACAACACCAAATCGTCAGCAGCACGTCACAGAGAACACACTACCGGACCGTGTCAGTGTTAGATACTTGTACGAGCCTGGCGAATACGAGGGAGACAGCAGACAACGCGCCACCGATCCGATATGGTCTATGAAAACGTATGTCAACCTGGTCGACATCAAAGACGGCAAACCGAACTTGTACTACTTGAAAGACAGGCCGCCGAGAGCATTCGTCAGAGAGGAGTTGATGATCGTACCTCACAATACGGTCCCTTTTTTTGATCGCCCACTGTATGATAATTGTCATCATTGTGTATGTGTGAATCAAAGGCCTTGATTTTTCCCGACCGACCCCATGCTCACTTAAAAGTCAATATTTCAGAAACAATTTGACCGATTTTCGCCAAATTTTGCATGCAACTCAGTAGTAGTATATACAATGATGGTACGGGATTAGGGCCTCCCCAAGGGCTCAATTTTTTAAATTGAGCCCTTGGGGGGACCTGGTCCCGTACCATCATTGTATATACTACTCCATTTTAAATCCTACGACAGTTGTAATTATATTTTTCAATAAAATATTTATAAAACAAAAAACTCGCTTTGTCTTGTGAGACCACCCCTACAGGGCCCTCTGGGCCCCCTACAGCCAAGAGCAGTTAACTCTCGCCGTCTACCTCGTACCTCACTTTTCATGCTGTCTTTCTGCTGAATAGACGCGCATGGTGTTCGTTTCGAGTGTGCTCTCCTACCAATACGATGAGTGTAAAAGAGTCTCAATCTTTATGTATGTTTCCTTTCTTAAGCACGGGCATTAGATGGACTTCATATATTGATATTCTCATTCATCTTTTGTCGTAACTTTTCCGTGGGTTCTCTGTTTTCCAGCCTTGTGGCAGGCAAATTGGCGGCCCGCGCAAGTTGTCAAGTTCATGTCCTGAAATAGAATGTGTCAATATACCACAGTTATTTTATTTTATCCACCGGTACGCAAACTAAGATTTGACATTTTTGTGTATACGCATGTAAGATCACATTTACTGAGTATTTACAAAAATGCAAGCGTACTTGTACGCAATAGTCTTAATAGGAATTGAGTTTTCATATAACTATTTGCGTAATTTATGCAGATACGCAGCTTATCTGTACCTCTGATCCAATCTTTGGAAACCACACCAACTGTCCATGATCCACAGCAAAGTCATACAAAGGAATTACAAGTCACAGATTCTACAGCAACAGAAGTTGAAGATCCACAAGCTAGTCCTACAGAGGAAGCGCAAACAACAGATCGAGTTAAATGTGTTGAACCCAGAATTGCTTTTAATGGCCCCGACACAATGATATTGTCTGGTGTAAGAAAGAAGGGATCCTGTGTTAAATTCAACCACCTCAAGCAAGTGGAAAATCAGTCCGCAAGCTGAAACTTAGCCCATTCAAACCATTGAACGCAACTATCATGAGTACCAGTAGACTGAAATGTTTGTTACCAGGAACACATGAAAGAAATAAAAACTGCTGTTCCCTCATAGTTCTATTATTGTATTTGTATCTCTAATACACGCACCAAGTTAAAACGTTTGTCAGTTATATTTCGCATTTAATTGTACATAGTAACATAGGCAAGTGAAAATCATGTGATGTTTTGAAATGTCCGTTACCTTGAGAGATATGCCTTCTGAAGACAATGGGAACGTCAAGATTATTCAGCATTTGTTGAGATTGTTAGCGGTTCAGGTGTTATCTTGATGATTTCAGTTTCATTTAGTATTTGATGTTAGGTAATGGTGTTGTCATCAATAATAATGTACGTTTTCAGGCATCTAGAGAAGTAAATATATTGCTGCACATTTCTTAGAAGTTTTACCCAAAGAATTAAAATTAAATAATAGCAAGTATCCAGTTCTTCAGTAGCTAAGAACATGTAGCCTTCCACTCATTATACCGCGTTACTTGATATATCCGTAGTCGGAAATACAATTGTGAACTTCTAAGGCCTATTTTAGCATGAAATCTGGTTAACATGACATTTAATCAACATATTTTTGAAAAAAGTATTATTTTAATTTCGACAGTTTTTCAGTGAGAGCCATGAAACGAAAGAGTGAGTGAGTGAGTGAGTTAATATTTAACGTCACATCAGCAATATTTCAGCCATATTGTGACGACAAATGTGAGGTACTAAGAATATACATATGTATACTTATTTAAAAAACCTGCCAGCGAAGGACAGTATAACGACTAGAATATCACAATTTGATTAAAACTAGTTTAATGAAACGAAAGAAGCCGGTTAATATTTACCAAGGGAGAGAACTCCATCGTATCACGGTATTGCTATTTTCTTACTATGGCATGCGGTACAAGCACATGACACTGCCAAACGTTTACGTAAGACAAGTAACTAATCTATATAGTTTTAATATTAAAAATTATTTTGGAATTTCATTATCATTAGTAATATCATCATGTTTCTAACCAAAACAACTGCAACTTCTGTTCATTTGGATACAAGTTAACAATAATGTAACAAACTAATTTTTTTGGCGCCTTACAATTTGCTGACGTGTGCAGAACAAAGTTGGACAATACATCACTTTTAGGACGGAAAATATGCAAATAACCTTATAGTTGTCGCAGGATTACTCTTGACGAAGTAAGTTTGGATTCATACAAGATGCAAATACAAATTCTAGTCAATATCAATGTTTGTGTATTAAATTTATGTATTTATATCGTGATTATTTTAAACAATAGTTTTATGATTATCATTTGCAATGTTATATATGGCTGCTTTATGAAAGAAAAAAACTCCAGAACTGCATATGATGCAAAACAAATTTCCCTTCGGGATAATAAAGAAATTATCTTACCATCTTAAATTAAATACATATGTAACTTTGATTACAAAGCATTTTACACGCTAATGACAGTGTGGTTGATATTTAATTCTGTCAGTTCCAGAGGGGAATTCTGTCAGTTCCATACTGGCTAGCGAACATATATCACCGCGTAACGGTTATCACCAATACATCAGTATCACACATGTGCAGTTCCAGTCAATTACAATTCCAGTATTTTTTCCCCACAGTATTTGACAACAATAAAGGACAGCAAAAGTAAATTCTTCACGGTAAGTAAAATAAGAGAAAAATTAAAGATAAAGTTATAAACCCTATAATTATTTTTCAACTTAGTCGGGGGGGGGGATGTCCCATGACCTATATAACAGCAAGTTCAAGTTCACAAGTCATTGTTTCATCCCTTTCAATCTACTGTAAAAGAAACACTCAAATAGTCACACAATCAATTATTCGAGCTTACTGTATGATATAGATATATATATTATTTCTCGAATGGCATGAGAAATTTGGAATGGCAATAACTGTAACAGTTAGTTGTGAGAAAACATCTATTTATATTGCCATGATTCCCTTCCGCCACGTTATATAAAAAAACATGATTGGCGGCAGTGAACGGGGTGGACACATTGGTGAATAGCCAATTAAGTATCATAATTAATTCTGTTTCATTGATTTAAGGAACGACGGAATAATTTTGTAAATACAGCTTAAATATGGTGATAACTGTTCTGTTGAGTAGGGGAACAACTAAATAGCTCTCAGTTTATGCTGTGGACAAATGTAACCACATGCTTGGTGATTTAATATTTCATGTTGTCTAATAAAGTATCATTAAATGTTCAATTGTCTTTTTGTGTCTTCTGTGTACAATAAGAAGTCAACAGCTGACAGGTAACGTACATTTTTAGCCGTATTTGACCATTCATTATGTACATGGTGTCAATCCCCACAGAATAAGAATCGGAATATTTAACTTTAAATCATTTCGGTCTTTTAACACAGACATACTACTATGAAATACATCATAAATCATCCAAGTTTGCAAAAGCAAATTTTGAATATTTTTACATATTATGTGGACCTCCTTATTGTGTTTCAGTGAGTGTACATGCGGAGGCTTGGATGCAGTTCTTGACTGCAAAACATCAATTCTGTCAAATGGCTGTCTTCGACTTACAATATGTTTTCTAATTTGATGCGCACGATGGCTCCTTCTACATATCCCAAATCTTTCTTGACTGTTTTTTTACCAGCTGTGTTGGATATATTGACGTTATTTTCGTTGTCTTCTTCCATAAAATGTCGCTTCTCACTCGAATTCATCTTCGCATTCGCGCGATAGACAGTACTCTCGTCACAATGGCCTCGTGAAAAGCGAGAGTTATGACTGGGTTGCTGTTTATTCTAGCAAGACGATTTTGTGTTTCTCATAAAGTAATTGTGGAATATGTATGTTGTTTATCACTGATATCTATTAAATTTAGGTCCATATAAATTTAGACTGGCGAGCCTGCCCTAGATCGATTGCGGTCGTTAGTATACACACACACAATAACAAAAGCCGGTACAGGCTGCCATTTAAAACGCTCTGCTCGTTTATTTGACGTCACATCCGGATTGGTCAAGCTGGACTCCGTCTGTATATTGAAGTCGCGCTGAAAGATCTGGGAACCAGTTAACCCCCTGGATGCCGAGGTTTTTTTTCTGGCGCACAGTTTCATAAGGTTTGAAAAGTGAATGTTGTGCGAGAATTGCGTTCGCGTGGTCCTAGATCTACCTACGACTATGAAATTACACAGAAATGTAGAATATTAAATTTCCAACCAGATGGTATAGATTCTAGTTCAAATACTTCGGAGGTTTGAAAAATAGACACTGCAAAATGTTGTACGAATTGTAAATGCGTTGAAAAACAGTAAATGTCTCAGCTTTTTATCGTACACCGATAAAAGCACTGTGCGACGAATTTTTACATTTGGCATCTTTATGGAAAGTGTGAGCGAACAAAATACCGCCTCAGGGATCTCAGATTCTGAATTTGGACTGTCTGGTGTTGCTCAAGTGGAGTGATGACTGAAAAATAGCAGGTTAATTTGGAATGAAATATATAAAATAATGTGTCCGGGCTTCAAGTTATTATTTCCAATGATTTAATTTCTTATTTTCAGAAGACCGCCTCCGTGGTGTAGTGGTTAGAGCGTCCGCCCGGAGACCGGAATTAAGGTCGCGGGTTCAATCCCCGACTGCGTCATACCAAAAGACGTTAAAATATGGTATACTTGTTGGTCCCTGCCTGGCGCTCGGCATTAATGGGTACAACAAGGACTGGTCGGCTCGGAGTCAGTAAAATGTGTCTGAGTGGGGTATTCATGCTTCACTGCGGCTTCACCATAAATGTCGCCATATTTGACACATTACGAAATCACGATTCACAACGTTATTTGGTGTATGTTTTCAAATGTTCAAATCGGATAATTACTACTCAGATGTATTGAATTTCAAAAATAGCATATTGATCACTGATATCAGGTTTTCATGAAAACACTAATGATAAATCTGAAAATACACTTACACGAACGCCGAAGTGCGCTTTCCGTCATATTGGATAGTGTTTACAAACTCGCATTTCGCGGAGGCCAGTAATGAGACGCCAATTACAGCACGTGTATATCACATTTACCTGCGACAAATGCATCACTGAATTCCCCATACATTTTAGAATCAAATTACAAATGGTCTTTGTACGGAAGCCTATTAGGGCCATGTCAAAAAACATTTCATATCCCTATTAACTGGAAATTTCCACTTAGTAACTGGAAAGTTCCACTTAGTAACTGGAAATTTCCACTTAGTAACTGGAAATTTCCACTTAGGAACTGGGAATTTCCACTTAGGTTTCTTGAAATTTCCACTTAGTAACTGGAAAGTTCCACTTAGGTTTCTTGAAATTTCCACTTAGGTTTCTTGAAATTTCCACTTAGTATCTGGAAATGTACATATGGCAATAAGTAGTTTTCACTTGGTATCCGAAGCTAGAAGAGTAGTCATGGATGAATTCCTTCGGCACAGAGGTATACCTACGGCAACACTTGATGTCCTGCAACGAGAAAAGGTGCGTATGCATGTACTAATCTATTGGAAGCAGTGAAGTAATGGGTTGTGTGGCGAGCTCGATTCAAGCCAGAATGATTTAATCCACATTGGCTGAGTCCACCACGTTGTATTAGTATTATTATTTAAATTGCGACATTACCGAAATCTTTTTTGTTTGAGTACCATTTTATGACTGTTTGTTTTACAGATTGATGCCCCCTGTATTGGGATTATGACAGATGATCAGCTTTCAACGTATATCCCCCAGTATGGCGACCGACTGGCACTACGAGCTTTCCTTAACAGGGAAAAGAAAGGTGCCAAAGCCGAAAAATCAGGGAATAAACGAAAACAAAGCTTATTTCAGAGACTGAGAAAGCAACTTAAACGAAAAGCAGAATCCGACAGTTCCGAAGACGAAGGGCAAACAGTGAGTTTGCAATTTGGAAACCAGAATGCAACAAAGACATCCAGGCGAATTGGTATTGGATTATCAAAATATGATGTGAAAAGAAAGGAATACAAGCAGGTACGGGCTGTCTCTGGTGGAGGGGTGAGAGAAATTGTCATGTCAAAAACATCAACGCGAAATGAAATTCTTCATGAGGCCAAGTCTCTTTTCTTCCCCAAAGGACATTCTGACAAGTTCGGAGCAGAAAAGGAATACGAATTCGATGTCTTTGATTACAAACTCGTATCAATGCCATCAGATGTTACCATTCAGCAAGTATTTGATATGTCAAAGCTGTCAAAGGTGAAGTTCTACTTGGGCATGAAACAGAAAGAGCACACTGGTGGAAAATCAGAAGATTCTGCACAACAGACTTCACAAGAGGCTGTACTGACGACATCATCAGTCACTTCTCCTTACCATACTCCAATAACTGAAGAACAGGATGATGAAGACTTGCCAATGCCACCATTCAATACTTCAAGAACAAAACCGGTATCATTCACATCATCAGCAACTGTTGTGTCATTGAAAGATCCACAAAACATTGATGTGCTGGATACCATTGATCGAGACATATACCCTTCTGAAGATGGTACTGCACAAGTATTACTCTCCTTTGATGCAACTTATCGGGATATGTTTCTTCCGGATATACCAGATACAGCAGACGACCTACATTCCATCAACACACTTATTGAGGGAGATTGACAGGCAGCATCCACCATAGAACATAAAATACGTGTTCACAGAGGTCATGTATTCCAGGAGCTGAAACAGAATTTCAAAGAAAATACATATGACCTCAACAAGGATCTGTTTAGTTTCGAAATGATTCTCCCAAACGGTAAGAGCGAAATTGCTGAGGACAGTGGTGGTGTCGTGCGCGATGCACTGGTGGAATTCTGGTCGTCTTTTATGATAATTGCTGTTTGGGCAGAGAAATGAAGGTTCCTTTCATCAGACATGACTTTAGTGATTCAGATTGGAAGGCCATTGCAAGCGTCCTTTATCTTGGCTGGAAAACACAGCGATACTTCCCCATATATCTGTCAAAGGCTTCATGTCTTGCTGCCTCTTTGGCGTTGACATCTTCTCAGATACGAAGAATCATCTTGTGACAGAGTATCTGTCATATCTGCCACTCAGTGAAGCAGATACTTTGAAAACAACCATGGAGGGCAATGTTGATGACCAAATCCAAGAGGACATCATCGACATAATCTCAACACACGATGGACGGGTCATCCCAACTCCTGAAAACCTAACCAAGGTAATAGGAGAGATCGCACACAAGGAACTCATTCAAGAACCAATGTATGTGAAAGCGTGTTGGTTTGACCAGCTTACCAGTCTTGGCTTTGATCTTGGTGACACTTCATTAGAAAGTCTCTACAACAACTTGATTCCAAATGTCAGAAAGGTGGTCAAGCTCTTCTCATTTCCAGAATGTATGTCAGTTTGTCAAACAGCTACTTCCAAATTTCTTATCAAGTTTGTGAAAGAACTTGAATCCGATATGTTGGCAAAGCTACTCAGATTTTGTACCGGTTCTGACCTTCTGCTAGTTGATGCTTCTGGAAAGCAAAAATCCCTCGCTGTGAGATTCAACACATTGAAGGGACTACAGCGTCGACCTGTTGCTCACACCTGTGGATATGTGCTGGAACTACCCGAGCAATACGACAGCTATCTTCAGTTCAGGTCGGAGTTCACTGCAGTGCTGAAGAGTGACATCTGGATAATGGACTTCGTGTAGAAGATACACACGTTTGCACTGGAAATCAGTATGACGACTTACACTGTGTTAAAGGCTGTTGGATGATACAGAATTGTTACAGTTATACTCAGTTTTGTGTTACAAAAGAAATTCATTTATCAGTTCGTCGAATCATGATGCATATGTGTTATACAAAGATTGTTTCGTCGATGGAAGTTTCTTTTACAATTTTTATTACAATATCAAATGATCAAATTGAGATCATTTGCATTATTCAACTTCAGTAATATTTTCACTGTTGGCAGCCTGCTTAAAATGTGTTTGAAGAAAAGTGTATGGTCACTGTGCCTACAAGTTTGAACTTTGAAAGAGGTTTCTTAATATGTTACTTCAAAACATGATTGTTTTCTTACATCGAGAACAAATGATAATGTGTTGATATTTTAGCAAACGTTCTTTGAACAAATACTTAATCTTTTCACGTGAGTGTAATTGAGACTCAAATTTATTACGAAATAAAGATAGTTTTGTTCTTTATGATGTTATCACTCTGATTTGGTCGACATGGTCAGCAAATATTAACCATGCATGTTATGAAAGCAACTATAATTACTCAAAGAGTGTCAATCAATTCATATTTGAAAAACATCAGTTGCGCAATTTGACAAGAGGGTGTGATCAATTTATAACAAACTAGTCCTTTCACAGACTGGCAACCTTACTGAAATAAACATCCGCATTGACACTGACATCCACACTAGCATTCACATTAACATCCACACTGACAATAACATCCACACTGACAATAACATCCATACTAACACTAACATCCACACTGACAATAACATCCATACTGACACTAACATCCACACTGACAATAACATCCATACTCACAATAACATCCACACTCACAATAACATCCATACTGACAATAACAATAACATCCACACTGACACTAACATCCACACTGACAATAACATCCATACTGACAATAACATCCATACTGACACTAACATCCACACTGACAATAACATCCATACTGACACTAACATCCACACTGACAATAACATCCATACTGACA